TTGATGCAATTACTCCTCTAAGGTTTCAAATGGGAGAAAAGAAAAGAAATATTATCTGAAAATAATTTTGATAATTCTGCGAAACATCTGGCACACCTTGAGCAAGAAAGATACAAATTTTTAGTTTATTTGCATGTTAGTACTGTGGGACAACATATTAAATAGAGCTAATACTGTTAGTAAAATTTTGCAAACCAAAAAGTTTAGTATGTCTATGGCTTCCCAAAGTTTAAATAATTAAATTGATTTTTGAAGGAATATCGATATGATAAAGGTTTCAATGACATGGTTGCAGAAGCTAAAGAATTAACATCTTCCCTAGATGTAGAACCAATATTTAAGAGTCAGGAAACTGTAAGGCCGCGAAAAATAAAAGACAATTTGATTCAGGCAAAGATGAAGGCAAACGTGAATCAATAGAAAGTGAAGAATTATAGTTTAGTTTATTGTTTTTATAAAATGTTAGACATTGCAATTTCATCTGTCAATAAAAGCTTCGAAATTCTGTCCTCTCTCTCGGATGTTTAAATTTTTATGGTACATTGCTGATTTTAATAAGTATTCTGAGCAAGAGCAATTTAAAGTTTGTAATAAACTTGAAGTGCAGTCGTTTCAATCAAAGTGGTTTATCTTTAGAGCAATCGCTTAATTATATTATAGAAAATTATTTAACTCATTCGTTCCCAAATGTTACCATTGCAATTCGTATACTTTAACCATACCGATTTCTGTAGCTACTGCGGAGAGATCATTTTCCAAGCTAAAAATAATTAAAAATTACTTACGGTCTACAATGGGTCAGAAGCGCCTGGAAAATATTTCCATAATATCTGTTGAATCTGATTTATTACAGCAGCTTGATATTGAAACGCTAATAAATGTTTGATATTTGGTAGATATGTGGCGCACCCATAATGCAACGTAGCCGGTTTTAGCAGAGGTTTTAGGTCAACTTACGAGATTATTAGATAATGATTAGAGAGGCAAACCGGTATAAACAAAATTTGAAAGAAAATCA